AAAAATAGATGGTATTTATAGTGTGTTTTGTTGTGTACAAAGATCATTTTTATATATTCATTTTTTTTCAATTTATTTTTTACCCCAGGGGGCGTCAGGGGGAGGGGAGTTTGGGGGTCTGGGGTAAATTGGGACCAATCTCACTCCATTGAGAATTGAACCCCGGACCTTCCATAAGGAAGAGTGAGTCGGCAACCAACTGGGCTGGACCGCTTCCTCTCATTTTTATTCATTATCATTATTCTCTTTGTTTTATGCTCTTATACAAATAACTTTCTATGTTCTCTTTGCAAATAGTGTAGATGTTTTGAATTTTCACTATGGGTACAAATTGATAGTGTAGTCTGTTCTAAATCCCAACTGCAATGACGCAAAAAGGCAAAACAGTGAAGGCATTCACTATGAGTAGTGATGGACCCGGGCCTGGCCTAGGCCCGGTCGGGCCTCGGGTCAGGTAGAGGTAGGCCCGGGCTATGGCTAGTGCCGGTTCGGGCCAGGCCACCCGCCCGGGTCACGGGTCGGGCCACCCGCCGGGCCGGGCCGGGTCATAATTTTTTTAAAAAAAATTATTATAGAATATACAAATTCTTATTAAAAACAAAGTTCAAGTGCATTTATTTGAAATAGGAACTACATTTGAGAATTGAGAAAAAACAACAATAAGAAATACATTTTCTAATAAATATCAATTGGGATTTCCGCCACCGTTGATTGTTGTTTTCCCTTTGTCACAGGACTTCATATGTTTTATTGTCATCTCGTATCCGTGTGAACGCCCCAAGCTACACTCTTTCTTGCACCACTTGCAAGTTGCCCACCACAGTCCGGTCTTCGGGTCCTTCCACTTATCAAAATTGTTTTGCATAAGAGTAGATGTACTTTCCATCTTTAAAATGGTAGATGTATAAGTAGGAATGTAGGATAATAAGAGAAGATGAAGATGGAGAAGAGTTGGACAAGAGGTGTAGAAAAATGTTAGAAAATAGATGTATTTATAGATGTTTTTGAACCCCTCTCCCCACACCACCACCACCCGGGACCCCCCTGCCCCCCACCCAAAGCCCCAACGACTATATAGCCGTTTGGGAGCTATTTTTTTTTAATTTTTTTTAAATATTTTTTTTTTGAAAATTATACATATTGTAAAATAAGTTAATTAATATTATGAATTAAGTAAAGCTATTTTTACTTAGAAAAGTGGTTTGATTTATAATTTACAAATGTTACAAAATAGGTGTAGAAGTATTTAAACAAATAACATATTGTAAATAATTTTACTTAACATATTGTAACATATTTGAAATAACGTATTGTAACATATTTATTTAAAAACAACCTTTAGATTTTAGAAAAATAATTTTAATTTGTAAGTTTGTAACCAATTAATTAATTTGAGAAGTACTACATATGAAAAAATGAACGCATAGAATGAGTATAGTAATTAATGGGAGTAAATGAGTAATAGAATGATTTTAAGTGATATTAATTAAAGTGTAACTAATATATAATATAATGTTTATAGTATATAATATATAAGTATACTACTATAAGATGAGTAATACACTTATATTTTATACTTTAATATATAAACTATATATTAAGTAGATGTAGAATGTATGTATTAAGTGGATATAAGTAGATAATTCATATATAAGTAGATATAATAATTGTATAAGAATTAAATATTAGAGTATAATGGAGAATTGGAGATTGGAGAATAAGAAAATAAGTATATACTACCTCTGTCCCATTTATATTGGGACGGAAGAGGGTGGCACGGTTATTAAGAAAAGTGGGTTTGTGTGGTTGATATTAATTGATAAAGTAAGAATAAAGTAAGAATGATTTAGAACCACACAAACTTTGCCAAATATGTTATGGGACAATTTAAGTGGGACTTCCCGAAAAGGTAAAACGAGACAATATAAATGGGACGGAGGGAGTATGAAATATAAGTAGAGAAGTAGATATTATTATGTATTAAGTATATACTAATAGTTTATAAAGTATATTTAATACTTTAATATATAAAGTATATATTAAGTAGATGTAGTATTGTAGTATGTATGTATGTATTAAGTAGACATAAGTAGATAATAAGTAGAGATTAAGTAGATAAGAAATATAAGTAATATAGTATATGTATTTATAAGTAGATAATTAATATATAAAGATATAATAATTGTATAAGTATTAAATAGTAAAATAAAATATAATGGAGAATAAGAGAATTTGAGAAGATGAATATGGAGATGAGTAGAGAGTAGAGAGTAGAGAGTAGGAATGTAGGATTTAGGAAGAATTGGAGAAGAGGTGTGAAAAAATGTTTAAAATTAGGAGTATTTATAGGTTTTTTTTTAACCCCCACCCCCCAAAAGCCCCGGACCCCCCCCCCCCCCGGTACCCACCCAATGGCTATATAGCCGTTTGGGAAGTGGGTCAACACCCCAAAAGGGTGTTTTAAAAAAAATGTTTTTTTTTTTTTAATTGTGACCGTTAGGCCCGGGTCTAACCGGGCCGGGTCCCCAAAACCTAGCCCCAAGCCCGGACCCGCCACCCCCCACCGGTTTGGTGCCCGAACCGGACCCGGACTCGAGAACCGGGCCGGTTCCGGACCCGCACAGTAGCGGGCCAGGCCGGTCCCGGGCCGGGCGGCCCGAACCGGGTCCATGACTAACTATGAGGCAACTACACACACCAGTCCTCTTTTGATCATACTCCGTACTAGCTAGTAGATAAAGCAGAAAGTTAGTAATAAAGGAGAGTATTGCGTAATAGGTTCATGTGGCATGCTTGATTGCTTGTTTCCCTTAAAGATGGAAGTATATAATGTTAGTGGTATTCTAACTTCTAAGCCTCCATGTAATGTGTTATTTTGATGCACATAAACTTAGTAGATAATGCTTGATTGCTTGTTTCCCTTGATCTGAATATTTCTGATCTGATCTGAATCTTTCTGATCTGATTTGATTTGAATATTTCTATAATTATTATAATTATTATAATTGTAATTACAAATATAATTTAAATAAAATTATAATTATAATCATAAATATAAAATAATAATAATAATAATAATAATAATATTTAAAATTAAATTTAAAATGAAAAACTTATACCCATTACACTAATTATAAATATAGATACAATTATAATTGTAATTATATTTTTAATTATAATTACTTATATAATTATAATTGTAATTATAATTAAAATATTTATCTCTATAATTGTAACTATAGTTATCAATATTATTATAATTACTCTGTAAAATAATTACAATAGTAATACTAATAAAATATTATTAATAATTATAATAATAATCATAATAATAATAAATTATAATTATAATATAATTATAATTATAATTATAATTATTATTATAAGTATTATAATTACTATAATTATAAGTATATTAACAATAATTATAAAATTATAATATAATAATAGTAATATAAATACAATTAATATTATTACAATGATATTATTATATTAATATTATTATTACAATAATATAATAATAATATGATTATTATTATAATATTATATTATTATTATAATATTACATTATAATTATAATTACAATCATAATTATAATTATAATTATAATTATAATAATGATTGTAATTATAATTATAATTATAATTATAATTATAATTATAATTATGATTGTAATTATAATTATAATTATGATTGTAACTATAATTATAACGATTATAATTATAGTTAATTACAATTATAATTATAATTAATTATACTTATAATTATAATAATTATAATTGATTATACTAATAATTATAAGAATTATAATTATATATTATAATTATAATTATAATTATAAGTAATTATAATTATAATTACAATTGTAATTATATTACAATAATAATCATAATTACATATAATTATAATATAATATTATAATAATATTGATCATATTATTGCATTTATATTACTATTATTATATTACAATATTATAATTATTATTTATATCTTATTATTTTTTATCATATTATTATTAATAATAATTATATAATAATAATCATAATAGTAATAATAATAGTAATAACAATATTAGTAATAATAATTAATATAATAATAAAAGTGATAAATCATATTTGAACTTTTCTGATCTGAATGTTTCTGATCTGAATAAAATAAGAATAAGTAATAAGAATGAGACGAAGAGAACAACTTCTTAATCTTGCTAACATGCATATATATTTTTATCGTAGAGGCATGGATTCACATGCTGACGGATTCACTGCAAGATGGGCTCTAAACTCTAAATTAGCACGACTTGTCTAATACGTAGTATTAATTATTGAAGAGGGATTTAATTATTTTGGATAGTATTAATTGTATTAAACTGCTTCTATTAGTTAATTTTCTCTAGTAGATAATTATATTAAATATTCAATGACATTATATTTTCTAGAACTGATCCACTTTCTCATGCCATTTTATAACATAATTACTCTTCCATATGCATGAAACCTTTAGTGCAGTTACATGAAAAGTTATAATTAATCAACTTTTTAATAGGGAAAATGGAAACTAATAATCCAACCTTTTAGCGGTCTTCTTTTAATAATCCGACCTTTTCGTTATTCATGAATAATCCAACCTTTGCACCTCATCTTCATTCATTGATCTCCGACCGATTGATGACCTGCTATTCCGAGTTATTTTCTTATCTCTGCAAACTATTATACCATAAATTCCACCTTTCACAAAGATAATATTTTGCAAAGATAAGAAAATAACTTATAATAGCAGGTCATCAACCGGTCAGGGACCAGTGAATGAAGATGAGGTGCAACCGTGCAAAGGTTGGATTATTCATGAATAACGAAAAAGTGGGACTATTAAAAGAAGACCGCTAAAAGGTTGGATTATTAGTTTCCATTTTCCCTTTTTAATATTGATCACAAACAATATATTTCACCAAATAAATTTTACTCCGTGCATCGCACGGGTATTGCACGGCAGCACAGGTGCAACGGCCAGGCCAGAAAGATTCTAAATGCAATTAGATAGCCAGAGTTACCACCGAATAGTATTTACAATTTTTAGTCAGTTCATCATTTAAATGCTACTTACACCAAATTTAACTTCAATAATGCATGTGTACTCGGGTGTGTTAAATTTGGATTATGCAGGATAAACACACCCTCCTGCTAGCTGCTACCATCAGCCTCAGTTAGAATTAGATACACAGTTACTTCCAAAACCAGCTCGTTATCCCTACGTCAAAAATAGCTCATGCACAGAGAAAAGATTACTCTTTACGAATGGTGATTTTCCCTTGTCGTTCAAGTTCAAGGAGCATGGCACGTGCAGCAGAATCACTAGAACTCTTCTTGTCGGGTCTTTTCTCACCCGAGAGTTCAATCACTCCAACATTTGGAATCGTCAAGGTGATTCGGGATTCGAAACTGATAAATCCAGTCCTCCTTTCAGAACCCTCACCAAATTCAATCAGAGACCTGACCAGACAATAATAGGCTGTATTGGTTACTATCTTGAATGCTAAGTCACATACAGAAGAAGAAAAACAGGAGTATTTTTTTTTTAGGGCAAACAATATTAGGGGCGCATTTGGTAAGAGTTATATAGCTGAATTTTCTCAAGGGGGGTGTGAAAGACATTGGAATATGCTGTATAATATGCTTTAGAATATTCTTCTATCTTTAGAATATGCTTTAGAATATTTTAGGAATATACTCTAGGATATTATTATTGTATAGCATCTTATAGGAATATTCTATCTTTGTAATGTATATATATAGGGACTTAACCCTCCAAAGAAATACACAGAAAATTCTTCCATTCTCATTACTATTATATGCTTAATTCTGATAACATGGTATCAGAGCCTACCATTTCAATTTAGCTTCTTCTTCTTTTTTTTGGCTGGTTCCTTTGTATACAGAATATCAGTTTAGTTCAGAATCTCAGTTCAGAACATTGTTTCTCTAAGCAGTTCACAGAACCTCTGTATTCTTTTCAGCTTAGTTTTCCATATCTCAATTTAGTGGTCAGACTGGATTCTTTCCCGAAGAGCTTGAGTTCAGTCCAGAATCTTCAGAACCTCTAGGCACCACTGTCTACAAGAATCTCCAGTACAGGCACTCTAATTACCCTTAAACCAGAACCTCTATCAGAACCTTAGTCCATCTCTGTCAGGTCCATCCATCTTCCCTGGCCAGAGATTTGATCAGAATTTTTCCAGAAGACTCGCCTAAGAAGACTCTACCACCAGGTGGACGGACATCTGTGGACATCCACATCTTCGTCTGGTTGTTCGCGCTGGGGTCTCCCATATCTGTGGAAATTTGCTCGTCTGGTTGTTCGCGCTGGGGTCTCGCTTGGGATGCTTCCTCTCCTTCGCGGATGATTCGCCGTTCGCGTCTGGTTATCTTATTCTCCGCATCAGTCAACGCCAAGCTGGATATCTTAGTCTCCAAGTTTTAAGTCCACAGTCGGGAACCCTACTGTAAGATTTCAGAATATCTCATTTTGTTTTAATATTATTATTGTCTCTTAAAAAAAAAAAAAAAAAAGAAAAAAAAAGAAAAAAAAAAGAAAAAAAAAAAAGAAAAAAAAAATGCCTGGTTCTGACACTGACACCTCCGCAGTAACACAAAGTCAGCCTTTGATAGTTTCTGAAGTTATTCCCATTAATTTTAAAATTACTGAGAATAAACTTTGTGGCTCCAATTATCTTGAATGGAGTAAAACTATCAAACGTTATTTAAGGAGCATTGATAAATATACCCACTTAGTTGATGACCCGCCAAAGGAGGAGGTTGATAGAGCTGCTAATACTGCCTGGCTTCGTGACGATTCTAGATTATTTATCCAGATTCAAAACTCAATGGAGAATGAGGTAATGGGGTATATTAGTCATTGCGATACTGTGAAAGAACTGTTTGATTATTTGGAATTTATGTATTCTGGAAAAGGTAATCTTAACCACATCTATGAGGTGTGCAAAGCCTTTTACAGAGCAGAAATGAAAGATAAGCCTCTCACGGGTTATTTTATGGATTTCAAGAAAACCTATGAAGAGCTGAATACATTAATGCCATTTAGTCCTGATATCAAAGTGCAGCAGAAACAAAGAGAACAAATGGCAGTGATGAGTTTTTTGGCTGGTCTAACATCTGAATTTGAAACAGCCAAATCACATATCTTATCTAGTGATGAGGTCTCTTCTCTTCAAGAGTCTTTCACTAGAGTGCTTCGCACCGATACTTCATCCACGCCATTAGCACCTCAGTCAAGCAATGCATTTGTAGGGCAAGTTCCGACATTCACCAGAGGAAGTGAGAAATATCCACGTACTGGCCCATCTGGCAAAGGCGTAGTATGCAACTACTGTAAAAAGCCTGGACACTTGATCAAAGATTGTAGAAAATTAAAATTCAAAAATCAAGGAAATCAGGTTGCTCACATTGCTTCCGCTACACAGTCTTCTGATGGATCAATAAGTATGTCTTCTGAGGAATACGCCAAATTTCTTTGCTACCAAGAGACTCTAAAGCATTCATCTACTCCTATCTCAGCTGTCGCTAATTCAGGTAATCCAAACACATGTCTTGTGTCTTCATCCTCAAAATGGGTTATCGATTCAGGGGCAACAGATCATATGACAGGTAATCCTAGTCTTTTTTCCTCATTCCACACACCTCTTCATACTTCTAGTGTTACTTTGGCTGACGGATCTACGTCACCAGTTCTTGGAACGGGTATAATTGTCCCAACACCTACCTTACCTTTGTCACCCGTCCTAAGTCTTCCTAACTTTGCCTTTAATTTGATTTCGATCAGCAAAATCACACGTAATCTTAATTGCTCTGTAACCTTTTTTCCTGGATATTGTGTATTTCAGGATCTGGTGACGAATCGGGTTATTGGTAAAGGATATGAGTCGGCTGGTCTCTATCTCTTGGATACATCCTTACCCAAATCCATCTCTTGTCTTGGAGTTGGAACTGTGTTAGAGGCTCATTATCGACTAGGCCATCCCTCTCTCCCGTTGTTAAAGAAACTTCATCCTCAATTTAATAAGGTGTCATCTTTACAGTGTGATTCATGTCAATTTGCAAAACATCATCGAACTAGTTTAAGTCCCCGAGTCAATAAACGAGCACACGCTCCTTTTGAACTTGTTCATTCTGATGTTTGGGGCGCTTGCCCTGTTGTGTCCAAAACTGGTGTTAAATATTTTGTTACCTTTGTTGATGATTATTCTCGTATGACTTGGATATATTTTATGAAACGTCGTTCTGAGTTATTTTCTCATTTTTGTGCCTTTTGTGCTGAAATTAAAACTCAATTTAATGTACCTGTTCGTATTTTAAGGGGAGACAATGCTCAAGAATATTTATCTTCCTCATTTAAGTTGTATATGGCTCAACATGGCATCATTCATCAAACTTCATGTGTAGATACACCTCCCCAAAATGGAGTTGCTGAACGCAAGAACAGACATCTATTAGAAACTGCGCGGGCTCTTCTATTCCAAATGAATGTGCCTAAACAGTTTTGGGCAGATGCTGTGTCTACAGCATGTTTTTTGATCAATAGAATGCCATCTACTGTCTTGGATGGTAAAACTCCATATCAGTGCCTATTTCCAAATAATGAAAATTTTCCTATCCCTCCTAAAATATTTGGTTGCACTTGTTTTGTACGAGATGTTAATCCCCATTTAACAAAGTTAGATCCCAAGTCATTAAAGTGCATTTTCTTAGGCTACTCTCGAGTTCAAAAGGGTTACAGATGTTTTTGTCCAAGTACGGGTCGATATCTTGTTTCAATTGATGTCTCCTTTCATGAAAATACACCGTTTTCATCAACAGAGACAAATATTTGTAGGGAGAATGATGATGTACTCATTTACACAGTCACTATACCCGAGTCCACTGCTTCAGCCGTTGTTCCACATGTTACTTTTCCTGAGCCTAGTCCCCCGGTACACTTGGTCTACACCCGTCGAAACAAAGTACAAGATCCCCCTCCACCTGTGGTTACTTATCCTGATACTGATCCGGTCTCGATCTCATGTCCTGAACCAATACCTGCATCTCCAGATCCTGCCTCTACATCAGATCTTGACCTCCCTATCGCACTACGTAAAGGTACACGGTCTTGTACTCATCCTATTTCTTCATTTGTGTCGTATAATCAGTTATCATCTGCCTCATGTTCTTTTATTGCTTCCATTGATTCTATTTCTGTTCCCAAATCTGTTAAAGACGCTTTGTCCCATCCTGAATGGCGTCATGCCATGGTAGAGGAAATGAATGCTTTGGATCTTAATGGTACTTGGGATTTGGTAGACTTGCCTACAGGGAAGAAATCTATTGGATGTAAGTGGGTCTTTGCTGTAAAGGTTAACCCCGACGGCTCCGTTGCTCGGTTGAAAGCCCGATTAGTAGCGAAGGGTTATGCTCAAACCTATGGGGTTGATTATTCTGACACTTTTTCTCCTGTTGCTAAATTAACATCTGTCAGGTTACTTATTTCTCTCGCTGCAACTAATGGTTGGCACTTACATCAGCTGGACATTAAAAATGCATTCTTGCACGGTGATCTTCAGGAGGAAGTTTATATTGAGCAACCTCCAGGGTTTGTTGCTCAGGGGGAGTATGGAAAAGTGTGTCGACTTCGCAAGTCTCTTTATGGTTTGAAACAGAGTCCCCGTGCATGGTTCGGGAAATTCAGTCAATCAATTGAACGATTTGGAATGATAAAGAGCAAATCAGATCACTCTGTATTTTACAGACAAACGAAAGCAGGTATCACATTGCTTGTGGTGTATGTCGATGATATTGTGATTACAGGGAGTGATAATGCAGGTATTTTGGCTCTTAAGAATTTTCTTCATAGTCAATTCCAGACGAAAGATTTGGGCTCATTGAAATACTTCTTGGGGATTGAGGTTATACGGAGCAAGAAAGGCATATTTCTATCTCAACGTAAATATGTGCTTGACTTGCTAACTGAAACAGGGAAATTGGGGGCAAAACCGAGCAATACTCCCATGATTCCCAATGTGCAGCTCACTCATGAAGGCGTACCATTCAAAGATCCAGAAAGATATAGAAGGTTGGTTGGAAAGCTTAATTATCTCGCAGTTACCCGTCCAGATATTGCGTACTCAGTGAGTGTAGTAAGTCAATATATGTCATCTCCGACAGTTGATCATTGGAATGCTGTAGAGCATATATTATGTTACTTGAAGGGGACACCAGGACGAGGTATTGTTTATCAAAATCATAATCACATGAGAATAGAATGCTTTGCAGATGCTGATTGGGCTGGATCTAAAGATGATAGAAGATCCACATCTGGCTATTGCGTCTTTGTTGGTGGTAATCTCGTCTCTTGGAAAAGTAAGAAGCAGAATGTGGTTTCTCGTTCGAGTGCTGAATCAGAATATCGGGCTATGGCACAATCGGCATGTGAGATAATCTGGATAAATCATCTATTGAGTGAAATCGGACTGAAGACACCAATGCCTGCTAAACTCTGGTGTGATAACCAGGCTGCTATACACATTGCCAACAACCCAGTGTTTCATGAGAGAACAAAACATATTGAGGTCGATTGTCACTTTGTTCGAGAAAAGATACAACAAGGATTGATCTCTACAGGATATGTGAAGACGGGAGAGCAACTTGGAGACTTGTTCACTAAAGCACTAAATGGAATTCGTGTTGGTTATTTATGTAACAAGTTGGGCATGATAAATATCTATGCTCCAACTTGAGGGGGAGTGTGAAAGACATTGGAATATGCTGTATAATATGCTTTAGAATATTCTTCTATCTTTAGAATATGCTTTAGAATATTTTAGGAATATACTCTAGGATATTATTATTGTATAGCATCTTATAGGAATATTCTATCTTTGTAATGTATATATATAGGGACTTAACCCTCCAAAGAAATACACAGAAAATTCTTCCATTCTCATTACTATTATATGCTTAATTCTGATAACAGGGGGAATGTTTGGTAAAATCCCTTTAAGCCAAAATGCCATATTAGTCAAGAGTTACATACTTCTATCTTCTATTATCTTATTATTTCATTATTTTGCTGGCCATATTAGGCAAAATAAGTCGCGTTTGACTACCAAATGTACTCTCAAACTGCAAAAAATTATTGCTTAAATAAATTTCCTTTTTTGGGACAGAGTAATAATTTAGTTTTAACTTTACTTACTTTGATTTAGTCTCGGATGCATCAAATGTGGGTATTGGCCATTGAAGTGACTTGCATAGGCTGAACAGTGATGTCCTTGGTCCTCCCTTTCTCAAGTTGATTGGCGGAATTTCTGCAAATATAAAAAATAAGCATCATTCATGAGAACAACGCTTACTATATGGGCCCAATTTTCTCATAGATTCAGTACACGTCCATAAATATCTACATACACGTGATCAGCATTAAGTTTCTTTCACAACTAAAAGCAGAGGCATGGTTGCAAAGCCAATATACTGATTTCTACTGTTTGAGTTCCAATTTATAACACTTCAACATTATAAACCTTTAATAACTATGCACTTGCACGCAACTCGCATGTGCACGCATCTCACACGCATACAGTTCACAATTCCAAATTCAACAAGTCTCCATACATATTTTTTGAAGCTGCTCCACATAAGAAAAGATTACAACTCCATAGACCATGTCGTTACCGTGTCAATTCAGCATTGTAACCTAAACCATGCTAATATTTGAAATATTGTATACATCTGTAGTCTTTCATGTAAGAACAACTTCTGATAAGGTCAGTATCAAATTGCTAGTTCACTGCCTATAAAGATAACACTTTGCTGGGAAAATCAGCAGTCTTTGGAAAATCTATTATAAATAGCATGGGGTGATTGTCAGTCACATATTCCAACAAAGTTATAGATCCATGCTTTTGAACTGGATGACAGGTGGATAGAGTTCAAATGAAGGAGATGATGCCATTCCCTCTAAGGGAGACAAAGAGCCTCATACCTGGAATATTGTTATTTGATTTAGGATTGCTAGAGCTATCAGCAGTTAACAGAGGAACCCCTGCTAAAGGAACAACAAGGTCGGTCTCTGGTCTATTCTTCGTTGATGAGACTCCTCTACTCTGTAAAAACAATTAGAGTTAAATTCAAACAAGTAGAGCATATGTAAATCTCCAACTCATAACCACATAGTCAATTCTATTCACTAGTGGCAAGGAAATCCAAGTGTGTTTTTTGCCAATACACATGCAAATTGACATTGATTATAAAATTGATGTGACAAGAAATTACATTTAAAGATGGAGCATGGAGTATTAGATGACCAGTTGCAATTCGCTAACAGCATGCAACTTCACAAACACGTATTTTCCACAATTGAAAGAAAGGTGATCTGTTAGCAGATACTACCTCCATTGCGAATAAGAGTCATCTTTGATCAGTTTAAAACATTAAATTTTGGTAAGGTACAACTATCACAAATCATGAAGTGAATTTATATCTTTTTCAAATTTAATATCTGTTAGTTTAACTAAATTTATCAATTCTAACTTGTGAAGTTTTCTTTTTGTAATTTTTGACGAATGGCATGAAAAATTAGCTTTGTTTGGTTTTGGGACAATTAAAACTTTCCTTTACCACAAATATATACTTCCAAACTTTATCCCAGCATTTTATATGGTAGAAAGTGGACCATGGCTTCATAGCAACTAATGAACAAAAAAATACACACTACACACATTGACAGAGTAGAGCAGCAGACAAGAGCAAAAAGGAAAAGGAGAGGTTTCAAGATTCAACCTTTAAGTTTTTTAGTAGAAGAAGACCAGCCTGCCCTTTTGCATCTTTTCTGCACTGCCCAAGCCCCTCTCCAAACAGCAACTCATCTTCAAGCTGTACTGTGAGTTCGGCATGCACTGCTTCCCCCTTTCTTTGCCAATATTGTTTCAAAAAGTAGCCGGAAGAGCTACACAATTCAATTAATTCCCTATATGGAGGGAGTTCTAAACTTTCAGGAGTAACAATGGGTGAGAGTATCGGTTCAAAGATTTCCCAGACTTTGCCTAAGTCAAGTTTGGTATCAATAAGTATTGCCCCGGCAATACTTTCCACAAGATCTCCCAATTCCTGTAAAATAATAACAAATAAGTATGTTTGTACTAAAGATCAGAACACACATAGGATCCGTTTGGAACCTGTAAAATGCTATCGATAGAAAATACGGGTGAAAACAGAGGGGAAATTTAAAGGGAACAAAACTAGAGGGGGGAAATGTTTTGGAATCAATAATTCAATTTTAGGCATTTCTTCAAACTTGTTTGATTGAAAATACCCATGTATAAAGACTGTGAAATGCTTTTCGTTATACCAAACCAAACACAAGAAAAATTCAACTATTTTTTTTGGCATTTTTCCTTTCCCTACCATTTCGCAAGTTCCAAACTTAGCTTAAGTAGTTTTGCAAACCTTGGGAGCTTTCCCGCCCACAAGCAACTCCGCAGTGCAGCTAGAGTTAGATATGGACTTCTCAAATTCCAATATTTGGCTTTCAAGATTGGTTGAGCAGTGCTGAAGATGCGGATGAAGATTTGCCCTCACAGCAGCAAGAGCGAAATTTGTGTTGTTGACAGAAGCAGAACGTAAATCTGTCAACTCCCCAGGGTCAACATCAGTGTGGTTTTGATAGAGATACCAAGTGATTAGAATGTCTAGCACGGCATCTCCAAGAAATTCAAGCCTCTGGGAAAAGTTAACCAAGAATAGAAAGTGAGCAGGATATAAAACAAAAACAATAACAGTTTTAAAAATAAAAAGATATATGGAGTACAACTATTGGTCCCAGTGGGTCATTTTTATTATGGTCCCATACTATCACTTTTCCCAATTTCTGAGCACGACTATGACTTTATTGCCACTTTTGGTCTCTCTAGTTACTTATCCCACAAAAACGCAACCGCGAATGATACGAAAATTGGCTAGATAAGGAGGTCCTGGTTGTGCTCCAAAAGTGGAAAAGAAAAGTCAGGGACTGAAAGTGAAAATGACATGATTGTACATGGGACCAAACGAGGAATTCTTTCATAGTTTAATAAGGGTAGTTATATTATCACTTATCAGCAACCTCGTAACAGCACCCAACACCTAGCTCTTGCTTAGTTTTGTGTGTTATGGCCTCTAATATCAACCCCTTGACAGAAAATGTGTAACCGATTTTTGACTCAAGGCTTTCAATGCTAACAGTGCTCGGCATATAGGAGTGCAGAGAAGCAGCTTTTATGGCATCATTCACCATGGATAGATCATCAAGATCAATATCCATACCAACCCATTTCATCAACTTAATAGAAGAAACCAACCCACCACCAACATAATATGCTCCCACCAGTGCTTCAACACAGTCAGATATAGTCTTTGATACTATCCATCTGTGACCTCTATCACAGCACCGCCCGATTTCAACCGTCTCATCATCTCTGGAGAAATCATCATTCACTGGCACTTCTAAGGTGTCCACCCCATGTTTGCATGGAGAAGGCCAAATAGAAAGCTGACCTGGAGCAGCCCATGTGCGGGGAATAAATGGACGGTCTAGTATATATCCCTGAAAAGAGTGAAACAGTAGAACTTAAAGAAATAGAAAACTGATGTAAAGAAAACAGAAATCTTTTCATAAAAGCACGCACAGACCAGTTGAACCCTTCTTCTATGAATAGAGGGAGATAAATTTAGAAGAAATTTCATTTTTTGTCCTACAGATCATTTTAACTTTTGATCCGCCTCTTCCATTTCTACTTTTAGCCTGGCCTGTGGATTCCCTGCCACTGATCTGGCCAATTTCATATTAATTTTTGATGAATAACATATGCTCATATCATAATACCTGTATATTACGGCTGATGCCCAACCTATGAAGTGTTGAGTTGCACACTGCCCATCTACGCTTGTCAGAGAGCACCCCTTCATCTTTATCGAGATATTTGAGGAAGAGGTGACAACCCAGAGCATATTTCAAAACTGAATCTCCTAGCAACTCTAAACGCTCCATGGAAAAAATTTCATTGCACCTCTGGGTTGTGAGAGCTTCCAGAACCTGATCATAAATAATGTCTAGTTATCCATTATAACAAATTAAAGTGATAAAGCAATACAGAGTACTGTTTCCACCAAAACAAAAGTGGTATACCAATGAGCTTGGCACATTTGAGTCACCATAAAGACAACAAATCTCTCTTCTTAGCTGGCTGGCAAGCATCAAACACTGGAGTCTATGCATCAGTGAGGGCATCAAGTAAAATGACCTCAAGACATCCAATTTAATATCAATACTGATAAGAAGTTCTGGTGGAATGTGAGCATGCTGGTGTGGTTTTATGTTAGCCGTTTTGCTATTATTCTCTGGCTCCTTTAGCGATGACAATCCTGAAAGAAACAAACAAGAAAAATGCTCATTTAAAAAATGTTCAATAGGTACTGCTCAAAAACTGATAGTGGTTAAAAAAATTAAAGCGGTAAACTATTTGATTCATTTCCACAAAAAAGAAATACTACCTCTGTCTAAAGATAATGAAGTCATGTTTGACTTCATTTTTATATTTTGTAAGATGCAACTGTCTGAATCACCAATTAATCACAGTAACACTTTTTTAAAAAAATGTTGGTGTAACATAAGTTAACATTTGTAACTTATGTGACTATCTTTTGGCTAGTAACAAGGAAAATTATCTTCACTTCATCAATGTGGTCTCTTCTTTTAGGGCATAATAAGTGTTCAAACGTGACTTCTTTTACAGAGGAAGAATTGACTTTGTAACATGCTATAAACCATTCTTTGCTGCTCTGTATAAAAGGAAATGCACTAAGCCACCAGAAACAGAAATGAACACTAAATTGTCAATTTGCTTTAATGAAGGAGGAAAAGGGGTAATATTCACAATGGGAATGTGAATAGGATAGTATGAAAAGATTAAGAATGGTAGACGTTAGCATTGTGAAGACATGTATCAAGACATGTTAAATTAGGAATGGTAGATGAGATTCAACAGATTTTTTATTCATACAACCCATGAATCAAGACATGGAATTCAAAACGTAAGAGAGGTTTTGTAGGAATATGAATACCATAGGGCAAAGATATACATAGTATTAATATGTACTTAAGGGAGAAGAGCTAACCTGTGTTTCTGAAGTCCACGAGAAGATTATGGGCATTATGGCTTTGCTTTAGCAGGAATATCGGCTGTTCAGGATACAACAGAGTAATCCCGTACCTGATGAAGTGATTAACAGTAAAAATTATCCTTACCATGAAATGTTAACAGATTAAAGGGATGCAGCGTTAGGACAATGTACCTTTTCTGGAAGTAGTCATCATAAGATGAATAGGTAGATGGGGCTTCTTCAGTGCTACCTTCGAATGGACTTCTAGAGGATGAATCAGGAACAGCTTCCAAGATAGAATAGATTCTTCCCGAATGAATAGCAACAACAACCATACCCCTCACACTATTTCTAGGAACTGATATATTGGCCATGTGAATCTGCTCTATAGAATCAGTATCCATTGCATCCAAATCATTTCTATGGAGAAAACTATTCCTTCTGTTAGCTTCAGACAACTCAGCATTAAGCCAAGCATTTTTCTTCAGATATTCCACAGCAGAAACAGAGGAATGAATTCCATTCCAATCAATGCACAACCGTTCAGAACTATGGCCTACTGTATCAAGGGGCAAGAGCAAGTACATATATGATTTCTCCCAAAGAGATTCCTCCATGTTAAATATGAGCTTCCTTTCACCTGATGCACGCGTAAACAGTTTCCCAAACAGCCCATTAAAGAAGAATTCCTGAAACCTCTTTGCTTTCCTGACCTGATAGCGAAGAATGATTTAATTCTTATAAAAAGAATGAAACACCCCATTTCCTAGAACTACTTATACATGGAAGATTTTTAAAAAATAGAGCCCAGAGTTCATTTGAACCTGATCTGCATCCAGTGTTATTAGCCCAAGTGAGGAGATAGAAGCCTTAACAATTCTTCTAAGCAAGTAGAGTTCCACTTCTATATTTCCAACATCATCATCTAGCTTTGATTCCATTAAAAGAACAAAACTGGAATAGTTCACTTCTGGATCATTGGAGTAGAAGACCATTTTATAAGCTTGAAAATTTACTTCAGCTTCCACCTCTCCCCACAATCCAGCCAGTGCACTGATGCTTGATGTCCCATGCAATTCCTTTCTCTTTGTAGTTCCTGGAAGCACTTAATAACAATAATACAATATGCCCATGCAATTCCTTTCTCTTTTTCATCAGCTTTTGGTAGAAGCCAATGAAAAAGAAGCCAAAATATACAAGGGGTCAGTTTGGAGGACTAAGCCTGTTTTTTTTTTTATAAATATCTGATATTTTATATAAAAAATTGAAGGGCTACATAGAACCTTTCAGTCACCCTTTACATGCTTTTAGAAACAATATATCCATCAAGATATACAACTAAACCCTCCAAAGCACACCCCTACATAACCTTCAAAAAGCCTCCACCCAAACTGACCCTTCAAAAGAAAATCAAATCAAATTCTGATGCAAGTTAACACTGACCTGCACCTGACGTTGATACTTGAGAATGCAAATCCAAATCCTTTTGGGAGGTAGCCTTTGTGCCAGCAGGGAGAAGATGGTCATTCAGTGCCCCCAACTCGTGCAGCTTTTTGCATGCCTCCAAGCATGCATATTTTTTAGCTACACGAGCATTCAAACTATCAGGGCCAATAATGGTTTGAAAAGCTGCACTCATTGGTAATGTTAATTTGCATCGGTACAACTGCTCTGGGGACACAATGGTCTCAAATTCTGGTTTTGGATTGGCGTTCCTGAGGGAGTAGCAGAACTAATATTGTAAGCAGTAAATAGATCGGGCCTAAGGACAAATAATGCATATAAGGACAAACTACTGACAAAGCATATATGTATGGTATTCAAATTGGGCATGACTCATATTGTGTTATAGACTTGTACATAAACAGCAAATATCAATCTCCAATACCTATACTGCTATACATTACATTTTAAAATTATCAAAAACGCAATACTGGCTGCTATTTTGGGTTGGAGAATGCGATCAATATAGTTTCATTGGCTATTAAACTTCATTATCTTGTAGACACTCACTAAATTGCTGGTCACACATGTGTCAGTAGACAGACAATTAGAGTCCAAGCAAGACAGGGAATTTCTGGTTTAGTGCGGAACTTTTCCTCCATACTTTAACTTCAATTTCTAATTTAAATGGAGAGTTTTTTTTATAGACACCCAGTGAAGCTGCTAGTACGAATAATAATAATAAGCATTACGGGAAGGTATATAGTAGGAAAAAGGAAGGATAACAATTCATTAGTTGCTGAGGTGTAATTTCAGAGTGTATTCTGAATAGAGTAAATAGTGGGGAAAGGGTAGTTAGTAAACAGGCTGTTTTGTTAGTTAGAACTGGACTGGGAAGATTGAGACTGACTGCCTCTCTCTTTGGGCTACGGATGAACTTGTATTCACCATTAATGAAGTTGGAGTTGTTTTCTTGAATCATTTTCATCTTTCTCTGTTAATCTTACATACCTGCGAGTACTCTATCATTTTTTCCCAGAAATGTTTTCAATTTTCACTTTGGAAAACGAAGTCCATTTGAACAATATACTTTTCCATTTTAATGTTTCTGTTTATTACGGAAAAAGGGAGAACTTTCCAAAAACTGAACTGGTCCAAAGTTTTCGCAGAAGAATTGCATGCCTCTGAGAAACTTGGCTAGATAAGCATGTTAGCAAGTATTAATATTTTCATTCAAATGAAGACAGTATTAGATATTTACTCCGCAAGAACTATTCGTACTTGTGTCCAAGCTTTTGGCAGTATCGATATACAAGACTGATGCTTGAATCCACATCCACGGACGCACCAGTTGCCTCTACACAATACGCATTGCTTTTCTTCATTTCACATACTTTTGGAACAGAATTACACTCCATTATCCTCACATCCACAGATGCACCAGTTGTCTGTGCACAATATGCATCACTTTTCTTCACTCCACATTGTTTTGGAACAGAATTATACTCCTCTATTGTCACAGAATCATAGTCCTCCTTTATTGCTGATATATCTAACATAGGGAACTCACAGCATATCAAATGGAACATTTGCTCTCTTTGTTTTAAGTTTCCCCTGAAATACATACAATGTGAATGGTTTGAAACAGCAAAACATAGCATATACACGAAGTGATAAAAATGAAGCAGGCTGTCTAGCATTTTATATTGTTGTATACTTGTATTTCCTCTTCTTTTAAATTCTTATGGAATAAAGTACTCTGTAGTATTTTGGTAACTTCCGAACTATTGTTGCCAGGTAATGCTTTCCAATTATAGTCAATGCTTAAGTATTAAGAATTAAAAGTAGAGAAAAAGTACTAATATGTTCATCACTATCTATATCGCGCAGCGTGTATTGACCTTCAAGGCATGAAACAAAGGCTTTTTGACCTACTCACGAGCTTGATTGCCTACCCTGCCTCCTGAAGAGTATCCATAACCACTCAAATCTATCATATTCCCTGCACCTCACCCACCACACTCAGCCTTAATGAGTTCAGTCCACAAGTATCCATCAACTCATCCTCCACTTCACAAATTAAAATGAAACAAAATATCCTTTAGCTTTAAATTTGTTTATTAAGCAAATATAAAATATTTTTCCATCATTTGCAATGGAGCCAAAGATTCATTATTTTTTGGCTTGAGAATATGATGGAATAAAGCAAAATGGCTCACCAAACTGTCTGCGCTTCTTTGTTATGAAGCAGCAGTCAGTCAATGCAATTTTTGGACGCGATTTTCATTATGGGTCATACGGAAACAGTCTCTCTGTGCTTTAGTACAGGGTTAAGACTGTGTACATCCGACCCCCCCTTACCCCACCATAGGTGGGAGCCTTTGCGGCACTAGGGTAAATGATGATTGATTGAAGCAAATATAAAATATAAACGTCACTAAACCGCCTCAAAAAAATCCATCAACATATCCTTCATGAATTCTATTTCCTGAAAGAGAATAAGGCCCTATCCAGTTCTTTCACCTTTCAAGCATAGTTATGTACTTTGAAGCCTTTTTACATGCTTGTTTTTGAGAGTTGATGTAGCTAGAAACAGCACTTGGCAAATCAAATCTTATGATAGAATTGCAGTCGGGTGCGTTTATTCCATCCAAAACTGTATATGTTGTAAATAATATATCCACCTAGGACAAAAATCTTGTAGTCAGAACAAAATTCAATGATTGATGGCTATACAAATTGCTAAGCATGCATAGTTGTACCATTCTAGAGCAGAAGGATCCAAAAGTTATTGTCTTTGCGAGTCTCTCTGCAACTTTAGATGTTATAGCACTTTCAACATATACAATGCATGGTAATTGATCCACCCTACATCCCGGACAGGTAACAAGAGACAGTAAAGAGAAAGCAAGTAAAGGGTAAGACTGTCATATGAACTGGACATTGTGAAGTGGATCATTCACGTATTGTTACCCAAATGATTTGAGTGTGTCAAAGAGCAGATGTAACTTGGGTGATATATGGCCCTTCATGATTGTTACAGAAGGATCGTAACCACAAGCTGGAGGCTTTTTATAATCTGCAGAAATGAAGGTAGTGGTAAAAGAGCCAAACAAACAAACCTAATAAGATATAAACTATTCAAGCAACTAGCTGCCAAACATATCTGGAGCACAATCATATATCGCATAGATACCGCTTAAAATAGTTTATATTCATTGTGCCAATACATAACACTGATGAAATTATAACACTATACTAACTCTATTAGGAAAAAAAGTCATGCTTCGGATACCAAAAATAGCATGACAAACATAACTCTTTTTCGGATTAGAGAAATAAATATCAACTAAAGAATTTGATATGGTAACAGCAATCATGAGGTTGAAAAATCTTTATTCTGACAGTGACAATATAATAATGAAGGAAAAGGTCCATTTAAAAACAAGAGAAACAGTATCTGAAATATATAAGTGAAAGCTCACATGATTAACGAGCATAAGTTACTACTGAAAGACGTTAGTTAATACCACTTCCATCCCACTAAGACTGGGATATGAGAAACTGGTGTGGCTTTTCAGAAACGTGGGTTTACATAATCGGTATTGGATTGGTAAAGCGGGAAATAAAAAAAGATCAATCAGAACCACACAAACATTACAAACTTAGTGGGATGGACAAAAAAGGAAAGATGGGACGAAGAAAGTAGGACGGAGGGAGAACCTCAGTACCACTTTATCATTTATACAATGCAGTATAGAAAGCACTCAAATGAGTCCAGAAATAATTGATCGTTCACTGTAGAATGGGTTAAAAGCAGATTGATGAATAATATAACTGGATTAGTAAGAATCCCAAGTTAAAAAACAGCAAGAAATAAGCATGCACAAATAAGTATTAATTAAGCAAATACAAGGAGTGGTAAAAATAAGTGAACGGTTCCAAAATAAAAGTTTTTAAGAGCTAAACGTGAAAAGTAAAGACTACTACCAGGTGGCAATGACTCGTCGAAAGTCGATATTACTTCCTCAAGAAAATATCTATGCTGAGAGGAGCCTTCCTTGCCTTGATATTCTTCTCTACTGTTAACAATATTCTCCAGACAAACTTTAGCAGCCTACAATAAGAGATATCAATAATAGGCATCAAAGCAGAAACCTGTAGAAAGGCTTCAAAAACAAGGAAAAACATAAAGATTTCCACCATTTTTTATGAATTCCAAATTTAACTTGCATTATAAAATGCTTCACAAGGTACAGTGAACCTCAACGCTCCTTTTTCTCACTAATATATTTTCTAAATAATGTATTTTCTGAGTCCTTTCTTATTTGTTATAGTCATGGATGAACTTACAAAGTCAATTCAAGAAGAGATACCATGGCGTGATGATTGCCGACAATATTGTATTGATTGATGAGACACTATCGGGGGTTAAAGCAAAGTTGGAAGTATGGCGACAAACTTTGGAGACCAAGAGTTTCAGAATGAGTTGAAGTAAGACTGAGTATATGGAGTGCAAGTTCGGTGAAGGTAGAAGTAGTAGTAACAGTGGGATTACCCTTGATGGCAAGGAGATACCGGTGTGTGATATGTTCCATTATTTGGGCTCTATAATTCAGAATGACGATGAATTAGATGGAGATGTATCCCATATAATCAGAGCAGGGTGGATGAAGTGGAAGAGTGCATCGGGGTTTCCCATGTGATTGAGGTATGCCGGCTAGACGAAAGGGTAAATTTTATCGGACAACAATTAGGCCTGCATTAATGTATGCCACATTCAAAAGATGAGTGTGGCAGAGATGTGTATGTTACGTTGGATGTGTGGACATACCAGAAAAGACTGCTTGAGGAATGAGATAATCAGACAAAAGGTGGGAATAACACATATAGAAGATATGTTACACGAGTTGAGATAATAAGAAAAGACCGTTTGATTGCGGTGGTTTGGTCATGTTCGTAGAAGATCGTGTGATGCATCTGTTACACGAGCTGAGAGCTGGGGAGAACAGGCGGGTAGGAGGGGGAGGGGGGAATACCCAAACAAACTTGGATTAGAGGATTCAGAACTGATATGCTTCTTCTTGGGTTGGATTCTTGGGTTGGATGAGAGTATGACTTTGGACGGAGAAAAATGGAGAGCGCATATAACTGTGGACGATTGAACTCTTTTCTTCCTCATCCCTTTTTTCATCTTTTATTTTAGTAATCATTCTATTTTCTTGTGTTCATCTTTTACTTTCATCTTTTGTTTTTCCTATGTCCTTTATCTCTTTTATCTTTAATCCATCTGACCATCTTATGTGCTTATGTTATTTTTATCTTATCCATTTTATCTTACCTTATCTTTTTATTTTTCTTATCTTTCTTCTCGTTTTTGCTTTGATATCATGGATCGATTCATGTTAGCTGACCCCAAATGCTTTTGGGATTTAACGCTTGGATGTTGTATGTGTTAGTACCCATGGTATTGGGCATTCTTGATGTGTAGAATGTGAACTTGTAAAGAGATGCTTAACATAGAAACTGATTTTGGTGTAAAAGGATCTTAAATACAAAGTGACGAGTCCTCCATCATCATCAACCACACGTTAATCCCAACTACATTGAGGTCAGTGTCATGAAATTTATCAATTAAATTTCTAAAATTAGATAAGACAAAAAATTCATCTTAAAATATAGTGCTAGAGGTTTACGCAAGATGTAACTTATGTCACAACCTTGTAAAGATGGGATCATGGGACAGAGTAATGAGATGAAATTCCAAAACACTCACCATAGTATTTTTAGTTATTAAATAACCAAATATCTTCTGAAGTGAAAAGTAAGAAATAAGCTATGTTCTTCCTATCTCTCCCCTTTTCCGGACTATTTGATTTCCCTATGTTACATGGTAGTATTTATATTACTCATAGTTTAGTTTTCTAATGAGTAATGATGCATAATTGCATATTTAACTATAATCCAGTTCCTTGGAGGACTTTTACTTTCATTGACATTTTGTTTATAATATAGTGACGAACACTCAATGCTTGAATAATGAACAAGAAAAATGTGAAATAAACAAATATGCCAGCAGGGGGCATTGTTCAGTTTGTACCAAGGCTTACAATGAACCAATAAGAAAAACTACACTTTAAATTCTCTCCATCTATTACCCAAGTTTCAATCACGCCATATTGCCACATTTATATTATTATTATTTTCATATTGATGCCTGATAAAAAAATAAAGATAGAATATAATATTGCATTATTTTTATAGATAGCATCACCTCTAATGCAGGTATAGACCCAAGATTATAAAGGCAGTGTTTGATAGTTGCATGATCATCAGACAACTTCTTCCTCAACATCTCATACAGAGCACTGGTATCTAAACTATCAATAGACTGACTTGGCACTGATTCTGATGAAGCTTGCAGTTTGAGTAAAACTGCATCAAACTGCCACAAGATCGACATAATTTAAAAAAACAGATCCAATAAAAAAAAAACACATAAACAAATTCAGTTATATATTTATTTTTATCAAACTAGTACAGTGCAATCTCATTGAAGTTTAAGTTTTCACCTTAGACCACAACGAATCCAGTTCTATTTTCAATTCCGAATTGCAAGTATGTGCCGTATCATAAAATATACAGCACTCATTTGTGGAAGAGGAAAGATCTTCTGAGTCCCCTGAATTCTCTTTTGAAAATATCTGAGAAGTACTCAAGAAATGAGGTCTGTGGAGAAAGACAAATATAACCTTAAGACAGATCATCATTAACCATTAACCAGCAGAAACCTGGGAGTCTAGAAGATTTTCAAGATTCTCCTTGGTTGTTGAGGTGCCTGTACATAAAGGTTCATTTATGGTTTTAGCGGATTTCTAAAACATAGAAACAGATAAACTATAAAGTTCAGTAAAGCCAATTGCATAATATTGATGGACTAGAGTTTATATCCATCATTGCATAACTTACTTACTTTCCAGATACACCATACATAAGCATAAAAATGCATTGATTTGTTTGTAACTTTGTGTTCAAAGCAAACACGAGTAATTTTAATGAGTTCAAGTTTTGCTGCTTTTCATTCTTTTCCATTTTCAGGGAAGCGGTGTTAGGCGTAGATGGGGGGGATTGAAATTCGAAGTTTAAACATTACCTTTCCTAGATTTCACACAAGCAGACATCCCAAAAATCTTAGGCTTTTTGCTGGATTGATGATAGAAATCCTGTTCAAATGAAAAAATAATGATTAGAGGCCATATCTGTAGAAATCTACTAAAGTAGTAAATAGTAAAACAACTAGGAAATTCATGAGAGTTTCTTGAGGTATTATGACAAGACCTTCATAATTTTGGCATAGGGATGGCTGCCACTGGCGCAATGGCAGTCATCTAGGACCAATAAGCAAATTGTTCCAATATTCAAAAATTCCTTTACCAATCCATTCAATAAAATCTGTGGTGTCATCACCAAAACCTATCCAAACAAGAGGAGCAATCTGTGATGTATATCATCTCAACAAAATTATGTATCATTTATATTTCACAAGTAATACTCTTACAATTCAAGCTTGGAGATCCAAACATATTTAAATAAATAATTTATATCCGCCTCTTTAAACAGTCAAACATGTATGCTGGTATGTATTAGTCTTTCCATCCCAATTTGTTTGCTCCTTTCACTATTCCTACGGTCAACCAAATTCCTTTTTACTCTTTAATTTGGTGTATCAAATTTTTATCATATTTGTATTCATTTTTTAATAGAAAATTTGATTTTTAATTCAGTCAACCTTCATAATCTGAAAGGGACAAACAATTTGGGATTGAGGTAGTATGTGATATGGAGTATTATATTAGGTACGCAGCCGTGCAGGTGTATGCCTCAGTGCCTTTAGGGGCATACAAAATTGTACAATTATCTTTGAGAACTATAACCACAATTTAGAATGCATCCAATATATGATTGGAGTTTCATTTGATAAAAAGAACCTATCTTGCAAGTAATCATTAATGAAATAATGGTATTAATGCTGTTGCATTAAATAGTCGCCGGTATCTACCATCCGTATATGATAGAAAAGTATTGGCCGTAGTTGATCTTTTTAACCATACAAAAAAATTAGAACAGATCATAGTACAAATTGGAAAGGAGGTGACTTGTTACATCATGATCATTCACTTCTTTTTCCCATGTGTCAGCATCCCATGTATCAATTCCTCTTGCCCCATAGAATTGTTGGACTTGTAGCTTGGTGTGGCATTTTATGGCCTCAAATTGCTGCAATGTGGGAGTAAAAAATAGGGATTTCATTATAAAGTGCATGAATCTTAAAGTTATTTAGAGAATTTGGAAATGCAATGTAAAGCAAAAAAAGCCTTACCTTTTATGGAAATTCAAGGGATAGTATTACAATGCGTATAGAACAGTACACTTACAATAGAAGAATTTGAATAAATAGCGCTTTGTACTAATTCGTACTCCCTCCATCCCGAATTAAACTTCATGATTTGGTTTGGCACAACTATTAATAAAGTTGGTTGAAAAGGAAAAGATGCAATTGAGATTTAAGTACACAAGATTGAAATGATAAGAACCATATTTATTTACCTAGAAGGAAAGAGGAAGATTAGTTCGGGACAGCCTAAAAGGAAAACAGAAAGTTTATTTCGGGAAGAAGGGGTATTTAGTACATACTTCCTCCGTTCTTTTGTAGTTGCCACACTTCCATTTTCACGTTTGCCAATGCATAACTTTGACTATTAATATATGTAACTCTCTAATTGTAAAAAAATAATTAAAATCACATTTTGAAAATTTAATATTAGAACAATTTATTTATATTTTTTAAAAATTAATGTTATAATGCATTCGTTAATAAAATGTAGTCAAAGTTGAACACGTGAATAGTGAAAAGCACACAAAGTCTAATTTCAAAAAACCTAAAACCAGAATGGATCCTCCTTTTGGAATAGTCAATATGTCAAATGGAAAAAGTCAAAAAACTAGCATAATGTCACACTGTTCCATGAACACAAACCATAGATGCAGTTCAGATTTAAGTACAAAAGATTGAAATGATAAGAACCATATTTATTTACCTAGAAGGAAAGAGGAAGATTAGTTCGGGACAGCCCAAAAGAAAAACAGAAAGTTTATTTTGGGAAGAAGGGGTATTTAGTCATACTTCATATGAATGAAAAGCACACAAAGTCTAAGGTATTCTAAATTCAAAAACCTAAAACCAGAATAAATCCTCCTTTTCGAATAGTCAATATATCGAATGGAAAAACTACCATCAACTCACATTGTTCCATGAACACAAACCATAGGGCATAATCATAAGTTCACAGGATTAAAAGAGCTACAAACTCACTAAAATCTTTTAGATAACAATCAAACACAACAAGCACGGATACTTCTTGGTTTATATTCTAGAAACAAAAAAAAAACTTAATTTTAGGAAATCTTTTAAAGAATCAAACTCTGCATCTTTGTCATTATTACCCATCAGAAGTTGGAAAAAACGAAAACTGGAACATGCCTGATGAACAAGATTAACTGTAGTGGCTAGAATTGCAATCTTTTTGCCAACATTAATCTCCATTAAAGATTTCACAAATTCTTGAACCATCAGCAGAGAAAGCATTGTCCTGTCAGTACCCGGATCCACCATAGCAATTGTGTTCCTCATTAATGCAACCTTGACAGCCTTCATCTCACTTCAATTAATCCAAAAAAAGGCATAGAACAGTTCTTAAACTCACATTGAAATCAAAATTGCATGAAGCACCCTCCGAATGTCCATAAACAAGTTTCACCTTTACTTCTACCCAAACTTTTGTCACATTCTATTGTTTTTAGTTAAATACATGTTTTAGTGCATACTCTGAATAAAATAAAAAACTACACGTAGTAAATACTACCTCCGCCACAAAAAGTTTATCCTGAAACGTGTAAGCTTTTTTAGGGGGTAGTATCTATAAATTAACAAAAAAGTTAAGCTTAAAATTGCAATAAGAGATCAGCATACTCTCTTCGTAGAGGCCGTGGTTTGTCCACGTTAGTCGAGTCAGTTTCTGTTTGCCCTCCATTCATGACTTGGAAGCTTCTCTTCAGAGAGGTTTGCTGGGAATGCTCCATTTTTCGCTTTTCTTTTCTAGAAATATCGACGCAAAAATAAAGAATTCAGTCCATAAAACTTCTCTGCAATGCAAATAACATGAAAGGTTTCGACTTTCCCTTAGCTGTTCGCTCACAACTTGATGCTGAGTATGGAAAGAAGAGCTGAGGGAGGGTGAGAAGTAACTTTTCGAGTTCTGGTTAGGGAGTCTACTCCGTATTTTATTTTTCAGATTTTTTTCCCAGAAAAATGCTAATTAAATAAATAATTTCCAAAATACTGCCGGGTTAAGAATAATTCCCGAAATACTGCTGGGTTAACCACGGTTAAGGAAAGCCGCCACTCCAAGTGGCGGCTTTTGTACAGCTTCACAAAAGCCGCCACTTGGAGTGGCGGCTCTTTTACCTCTGTATGAAAGCCGCCACTCCAAGTGGCGGCTCTCGTGTTAAAGAACCTGCTGCAACATCATTCAGACAACTAAACCTGTAATTACCAAAAAAACAGCTCATCACAAAATCACAGTCCATTCCATTCAAAAAACAACCAAACATATGATTTACTAAGACCAAATACACCCGAAACATAAAACGAATCAATGAAACTACATGACAACATACATCCAAAATACAAAACGATTTACTAAGACCAAATACACCCGAAACATAAAACGAATCAATGAAACTACATGATTTTAATAACATATTGTAACATATTTGAAATAACGTATTGTAACATATTTATTTAAAAACAACCTTTAGATTTTAGAAAAATAATTTTAATTTGTAAGTTTGTAACCAATTAATTAATTTGAGAAGTACTACATATGAAAAAATGAACGCATAGAATGAGTATAGTAATTAATGGGAGTAAATGAGTAATAGAATGATTTTAAGTGATATTAATTAAAGTGTAACTAATATATAATATAATGTTTATAGTATATAATATATAAGTATACTACTATAAGATGAGTAATACACTTATATTTTATACTTTAATATATAAACTATATATTAAGTAGATGTAGAATGTATGTATTAAGTGGATATAAGTAGATAATTCATATATAAGTAGCTATAATAATTGTATAAGAATTAAATATTAGAGTATAATGGAGAATTGGAGACTGGAGAATAAGAAAATAAGTATATACTACCTCTGTCCCATTTATATTGGGACGGAAGAGGGTGGCACGGTTATTAAGAAAAGTGGGTTTGTGTGGTTGATATTAATTGATAAAGTAAGAATAAAGTAAGAATGATTTAGAACCACACAAACTTTGCCAAATATGTTATGGGACAATTTAAGTGGGACTTCCCGAAAAGGTAAAACGAGACAATATAAATGGGACGGAGGGAGTATGAAATATAAGTAGAGAAGTAGATATTATTATGTATTAAGTATATACTAATAGTTTATAAAGTATATTTAATACTTTAATATATAAAGTATATATTAAGTAGATGTAGTATTGTAGTATGTATGTATGTATTAAGTAGACATAAGTAGATAATAAGTAGAGATTAAGTAGATAAGAAATATAAGTAATATAGTATATGTATTTATAAGTAGATAATTAATATATAAAGATATAATAATTGTATAAGTATTAAATAGTAAAATAAAATATAATGGAGAATAAGAGAATTTGAGAAGATGAATATGGAGATGAGTAGAGAGTAGAGAGTAGAGAGTAGGAATGTAGGATTTAGGAAGAATTGGAGAAGAGGTGTGAAAAAATGTTTAAAATTAGGAGTATTTATAGGTTTTTTTTTAACCCCCACCCCCCAAAAGCCCCGGACCCCCCCCCCCCCCGGTACCCACCCAATGGCTATATAGCCGTTTGGGAAGTGGGTCAACACCCCAAAAGGGTGTTTTAAAAAAAATGTTTTTTTTTTAATTGTGACCGTTAGGCCCGGGTCTAACCGGGCCGGGTCCCCAAAACCTAGCCCCAAGCCCGGACCCGCCACCCCCCACCGGTTTGGTGCCCGAACCGGACCCGGACTCGAGAACCGGGCCGGTTCCGGACCCGCACAGTAGCGGGCCAGGCCGGTCCCGGGCCGGGCGGCCCGAACCGAGTCCATGACTAACTATGAGGCAACTACACACACCAGTCCTCTTTTGATCATACTCCGTACTAGCTAGTAGATAAAGCAGAAAGTTAGTAATAAAGGAGAGTATTGCGTAATAGGTTCATGTGGCATGCTTGATTGCTTGTTTCCCTTAAAGATGGAAGTATATAATGTTAGTGGTATTCTAACTTCTAAGCCTCCATGTAATGTGTTATTTTGATGCACATAAACTTAGTAGATAATGCTTGATTGCTTGTTTCCCTTGATCTGAATATTTCTGATCTGATCTGAATCTTTCTGATCTGATTTGATTTGAATATTTCTATAATTATTATAATTATTATAATTGTAATTACAAATATAATTTAAATAAAATTATAATTATAATCATAAATATAAAATAATAATAATAATAATAATAATAATAATATTTAAAATTAAATTTAAAATGAAAAACTTATACCCATTACACTAATTATAAATATAGATACAATTATAATTGTAATTATATTTTTAATTATAATTACTTATATAATTATAATTGTAATTATAATTAAAATATTTATCTCTATAATTGTAACTATAGTTATCAATATTATTATAATTACTCTGTAAAATAATTACAATAGTAATACTAATAAAATATTATTAATAATTATAATAATAATCATAATAATAATAAATTATAATTATAATATAATTATAATTATAATTATTATTATAAGTATTATAATTACTATAATTATAAGTATATTAACAATAATTATAAAATTATAATATAATAATAGTAATATAAATACAATTAATATTATTACAATGATATTATTATATTAATATTATTATTACAATAATATAATAATAATATGATTATTATTATAATATTATATTATTATTATAATATTACATTATAATTATAATTACAATCATAATTATAATTATAATTATAATTATAATAATGATTGTAATTATAATTATAATTATAATTATAATTATAATTATAATTATGATTGTAATTATAATTATAATTATGATTGTAACTATAATTATAACGATTATAATTATAGTTAATTACAATTATAATTATAATTAATTATACTTATAATTATAATAATTATAATTGATTATACTAATAATTATAAGAATTATAATTATATATTATAATTATAATTATAATTATAAGTAATTATAATTATAATTACAATTGTAATTATATTACAATAATAATCATAATTACATATAATTATAATATAATATTATAATAATATTGATCATATTATTGCATTTATATTACTATTATTATATTACAATATTATAATTATTATTTATATCTTATTATTTTTTATCATATTATTATTAATAATAATTATATAATAATAATCATAATAGTAATAATAATAGTAATAACAATATTAGTAATAATAATTAATATAATAATAAAAGTGATAAATCATATTTGAACTTTTCTGATCTGAATGTTTCTGATCTGAATAAAATAAGAATAAGTAATAAGAATGAGACGAAGAGAACAACTTCTTAATCTTGCTAACATGCATATATATTTTTATCGTAGAGGCATGGATTCACATGCTGACGGATTCACTGCAAGATGGGCTCTAAACTCTAAATTAGCACGACTTGTCTAATACGTAGTATTAATTATTGAAGAGGGATTTAATTATTTTGGATAGTATTAATTGTATTAAACTGCTTCTATTAGTTAATTTTCTCTAGTAGATAATTATATTAAATATTCAATGACATTATATTTTCTAGAACTGATCCACTTTCTCATGCCATTTTATAACATAATTACTCTTCCATATGCATGAAACCTTTAGTGCAGTTACATGAAAAGTTATAATTAATCAACTTTTTAATAGGGAAAATGGAAACTAATAATCCAACCTTTTAGCGGTCTTCTTTTAATAATCCGACCTTTTCGTTATTCATGAATAATCCAACCTTTGCACCTCATCTTCATTCATTGATCTCCGACCGATTGATGACCTGCTATTCCGAGTTATTTTCTTATCTCTGCAAACTATTATACCATAAATTCCACCTTTCACAAAGATAATATTTTGCAAAGATAAGAAAATAACTTATAATAGCAGGTCATCAACCGGTCAGGGACCAGTGAATGAAGATGAGGTGCAACCGTGCAAAGGTTGGATTATTCATGAATAACGAAAAAGTGGGACTATTAAAAGAAGACCGCTAAAAGGTTGGATTATTAGTTTCCATTTTCCCTTTTTAATATTGATCACAAACAATATATTTCACCAAATAAATTTTACTCCGTGCATCGCACGGGTATTGCACGGCAGCACAGGTGCAACGGCCAGGCCAGAAAGATTCTAAATGCAATTAGATAGCCAGAGTTACCACCGAATAGTATTTACAATTTTTAGTCAGTTCATCATTTAAATGCTACTTACACCAAATTTAACTTCAATAATGCATGTGTACTCGGGTGTGTTAAATTTGGATTATGCAGGATAAACACACCCTCCTGCTAGCTGCTACCATCAGCCTCAGTTAGAATTAGATACACAGTTACTTCCAAAACCAGCTCGTTATCCCTACGTCAAAAATAGCTCATGCACAGAGAAAAGATTACTCTTTACGAATGGTGATTTTCCCTTGTCGTTCAAGTTCAAGGAGCATGGCACGTGCAGCAGAATCACTAGAACTCTTCTTGTCGGGTCTTTTCTCACCCGAGAGTTCAATCACTCCAACATTTGGAATCGTCAAGGTGATTCGGGATTCGAAACTGATAAATCCAGTCCTCCTTTCAGAACCCTCACCAAATTCAATCAGAGACCTGACCAGACAATAATAGGCTGTATTGGTTACTATCTTGAATGCTAAGTCACATACAGAAGAAGAAAAACAGGAGTATTTTTTTTTTAGGGCAAACAATATTAGGGGCGCATTTGGTAAGAGTTATATAGCTGAATTTTCTCAAGGGGGGAATGTTTGGTAAAATCCCTTTAAGCCAAAATGCCATATTAGTCAAGAGTTACATACTTCTATCTTCTATTATCTTATTATTTCATTATTTTGCTGGCCATATTAGGCAAAATAAGTCGCGTTTGACTACCAAATGTACTCTCAAACTGCAAAAAATTATTGCTTAAATA